AGTCGGAAAGCACGGGGAGGGTGGGAAGATTGTGCCGGGATAGGCCTGGCACCGGGCGCCAGCGAGGCACGGAGGCAGGCGGCGGCCCGGAGCCTGCGTCCTGCACCGAGCGCGCTGCCGGGCTGGGAGTCTCTGAGTCCCTGGCCCGGATTCGAGTGGGATGGATGAGTGTGCGCGGGCGGCCCGGGCGGCGGGGCGGGGGCGCCCACTCCTAACCGTGGGCGGATGGAGGGGAGGGGGCCGCGCAGGAGGAGGAGGAGGAGGGAGGCCAGGCGGACCGCCGAGCCCAGGCGCCTGGCCGCGAGCCAGAGGCAGCGTTCGAAACACGACCGCCTCGGCGGCGGCGCCCGGGTGCCACCCGGAGCCTGGCTCACGTGCTCCCGCCCGGCGGCGGGGTTAAAGGGACAGGCCGGGAATCCCGAGCCCGCTCCCCTCCGGCTTCGGCCCCCCACCTCCCGGTTTCCCCAGGTCACCACCCCCGGCGGTTGTCCTGGGAGGGCGCGGAAAGGGGACCGTCCCACAGCCACCTTTCGGGGCTTGTCCTTTACCTGCACCTCCTGGATGCTGGGACGAAAGTTGGCCGGAAGCGTCTAGCTGAGGGGCGGCAGTTTTCTAGTTCACGCTGTGAGTGGGAAGGGATTGCTGAGCGGTAGGAGGTGGCCCCTGACAGCCCTGCTCCGCCCGGGGATGCCCCCACCACAGAGCGCGCCGGTGAGCGCGCACACAGAGAACGTGCACACCCATACACATGGTCCCATGTGTAATCACACGCACGCGAGCGGAGACACATGTGCACGCGTAAACACACATGTAAATACACGCGCGCTTGGACACACAACGTACAGGCACACAGACAGCGAGACGCGCGCTCTCGCAGACACGTGCGAAGAATGCATGCACGCACGCGGAGCCCGCCAGTTTCTTCGCTGAACTTTGCTCCAGGAAAGAACGGGGGCGACGAATCCCGCCCCCCGCCCCAACTGGCGCTATGCGCGCGGGCTCGGACGCTTAAAGGATAGAAGGGGTCTCCTAGAACCCGAATAGCATAGCTGCTGCGACTGCCAGGCTTTCCCTCAATTTACCTTGGTTTAACCTTCTCCCAAAGAACTGCTTTTCTGCCAAGTCCTAATTTTATAGCTTGGACTCTTTCTGAGTTATGTGAACACCACTATGGCCACAGTCCGTTTTTAAAAGGTGGAATACATTTTTAAAATGTACCTCTTTTCATCTTCGAATAACATCAAAACTCTAAAAAGAAAAAAAAATAGATTCAGATTTTCACACATCACACCCAAAATTATTTTGGACCAATTCCAAAATAAAAACTTTCACCCCAGGAAGAATTCTTCTTTCAAAAGTACAGACCACCGTGGAATAAAAACGTCTGCTTTGCAGCCCCCAAGCAGGGCGTTAGGCACCGCCAGGTTCGGCTGTGCAGATGGAGGAGGCGGGTGTAAATGTCCGCTTCGGCGCGACCGCTCTGATTGGTCCGCGTTGCCATTTTAAATCCATTTCCAGCTGTCCTTTGCAGAGTTAGGACACTCCACTGCAAGTTGAGCGCTTTGCAGGAACCCAGGGTTGCTCCTGGATCTGGGAACGCTTAGCTGTGATGGAGAGGGAGAGCCCCCATCCCTCCAGATGGGGCCCAGCAGCTGAAGAGAGGGAGGGGTCGAACAGGAACCGAAGGTTTTCTGTCAGGGTTTGGCTGAAAGATGGTATCTTCATCAAAGGGATTGAAATTGCACCTACTAACGACTGCAGTGACATTTCTTAACTGCCAAGTTGGCACTTTCTTTTTTTCTTTGTGATCACGTATTTGCTCGGCGGTGTGAGCATTTTACACACACACACACTCACACACACGCAGTGGGCTCCAGGGCTAGGTATTTTTCCCCCTTGCTTTTTGCCAGTAAAGAAGATAAAATTATAAGGATGAATGTAGGCAAAAGCAGTTCAAGATGTCAACTCCTTTTATATAGGTTACCCCATTCTATCCGAAAACCGGCAAGGTAGGGATTCTAAAATTTTATGTTTGCACCCATTTTTTAAATCTGAAAGCACTGAAGAGTAAGAGGGGGGTGTTCAGTCAGCTAATTTCACTATCAGATTACTTGATCCCCTTGAATTTGCATAAAGAAGGATAAAAAATTGTGGCAAGTTCTGTCTGCTTTATGTAGTTTCATTCTTTAGAAGCTCTATTTCTTTCATTTTGCTATTATTTTCTTAGGCATACGTTACAATTTGGTTGCATCTTTAAAATGATTTAAACTTATTTCTTTTAAATGGTGTCCTTATATATTCTTTTTATTTTTTCCACTTATGAGTGCATCTTGATATTCTTTTTAAAATACAAAAGGTTAGCTTTATATAAAAAGGTTCATTTTCATATTTACATTTGTGAGATTTGCATTTACAATTTAAGTTCCTCAATTGCTCACTTCCTTTCCCTTCGCTTACTACATTACCCCGCCATTCAAAGCTAAACTCTTCTTTCTAATTTAAACTTTCCAGGTGGTTTCTGTCTACATTAAACTGATTCTTTTCTTCTCCTGCACTTACTATCAAATTGAACAGATAGCACCTACGTTGGATAGGTTCACAAAGTTTCTCATTGTCTATAACCGCATGCTTTAGATTAGTGTTTAGATCCGGTCAACTCGTGGTAAAATCAACTTAGTGGACCCACAACATTTTTTTTTAATATAGAATAAAATTAAAAATGTAAAAAAAGAAAATAATATGGAAAATTTCTGTTTTAGTTATACAGCACCTATGCTAAAAATGATTTTTAAGATTTCCCCCATTTTCTCCTCCCGCCCCCACACTTTTTAACATCTTGGCAACTGAGATATATCTTAGTGTTCAAGGTCTATTAACAGTGTGTAACCATGTAACAGGTAATATCCTTTCTGCTGTAGTAGCTCTCATACTCCCTCTTGTTTCCTGCATATATGATGAATTGATTTCTTACCATAGGTTACAACGAGACATGTTTAGATGCCGCTGACTTACTTATGGGACCTGAGTTCCTTTACAACTCCACTTAAACTAGGTCTTTGTAATTACTGTGATGTTTAGCAAATCATTTCTCCACATCTCAGAGTCTTCATTTCTAAAATAAAGGATAAGAATAATCTCTGAGCATGCTTCTAGTTCTAACAGACTATAAAACACATACAAGATTTTGTTTTCCAACTGTATTGGTATTTAAAATTGTATGCTTATACTCTGAAGACAAGTAGTATTTCTATAACCTTTTGATAGTAGCAGTTTTGTGTAAGTAACAATCATTCTAAAATAGCCTTTGGCCACCAATTACGTAATGATAAAAGTACTTTTAAAAAGTTACTATTTTATAAAATGCATGGTATACGATGAGCTAATCATTCTAAATATATTAAAATACCTTCACAATTATTTTGACTAAAAAGACATTCTTCCATAATAAACAGGTTAAGGTTCTCACATATCATATAGTAGTTACAATTTTTTACATTTGTAAATTAAGGAATAATTTAGATATTTCTCACATTATAATGGATTGCATTTAATATGAATGTTTTACTACTGAGATTTATTACAAGCAGGTATTTTGACAGTAAATCTAGAGCCAGGGAGATAGCTCAATGGCATAAGCGCCTGCCTGGCAAGCGTAAGGTCCCGAATT